TTTTTCATTCTAAGTCTTTTAGTAATGTGGAACATACGGTTATCTTGATCGAGGACAAGACAATGCGTGTATCTACATACAGAATTACATCCATTTATATGACGTGTCTTAGGTTTTAAACAACGAGTCATGCGATTTGTTAGTCTTGTTATGACGTTCTGAAAAAAATTAAACGATTGATTTAACACGTTTTAGAGGAATACGTCTTATAGGATTCACTAAATAGGAGATTGGTTTATGAAAAGCTTGAATAAAAAATGTGTCGTCATTCGACATTCCGACGGTTCGAGACTCCAACTGTGAAGAAAGAATGAAAGAGATTCGACGTCGTCAAAGTGGTCTCTATTGTAAGAGCACATCTTCATCTATAAAAATAAAATAGAATTGGGTGTCGGCTGACTAATCACTAACCTAAAACCTTTACCGTCTAAAGTGTACGTCCGTAATAAAATCGGTTCGACGATAGTGCTAGCGTTAATTAACAATACAAAGAAATTAGTGCAAAAATTAATACTATCAGTACAATGAAGATCTGAAATGCATTGGACTTGAAAGCGTGCGACGTAATCAACGACACCCATCGAAGAACAAACGGAAAGAGGAGCATTTTCAAAACCCAATTTCTCATAGACTTCTAACGAGTAATTTCGATAATATTTCCTTTCAATACAGACGAAATGTTGTTTAATAGTTATAAAATGAGTCACGTCGATCATGACACCAATGAAACTGAGAATGGGAGTTACAAACCTTGATCTTTCAGAAAGATTTTGTGTATCAGAAAGCACCGCTGCTTGCATACTTATTACCTGGTTTAATTAGTTGTACATTGTAAGTGGTTGTTTAAAAGTGTAGGGTCACAGAGATATAATTTTAAAAAGCTTACCAAAAGAATTTAAAGAGCAGTACCCAAATAGTATTTTAATTATAGATGCTACAGAGCTTAAGATTCAAATGCCTTGTGCACTCCAAAAGCACAATGAGAGCTACGTAACTACAAATCACATACTACATTCAAGTCTCTTATTGGTGTTGATCCAAATGGTGGAGTTTTATTTGTATCTCAACTTTATGAAGGGTCAATCAGTGACAAAGAAATTTTCCGAAGATCTGGATTACTTGATGTCCTTGCGAAAAAGCTTCAAGTGGGAGAAATTAGAAAGAAGGGTTCTATCATGGCTGTTAAAGGCTTTGACATACAGAATGATCTAAAAAAAACTTGAACTGGAGCTAAATATCCCCCCATTCCTACGAAATCAGGTTGGCTTTCACGAGGATGATGTGTTCGAAACACAGACTATCGCAAAGCATCGAATGTATGTGTGGAGGGGTGAGGGAGAATATTTTCTGAAACAACTCAATCAAAAGAATAGTATATTACTTATGCTACAAAAATAAATGAATAGATGAAAAGATCCATTTCTTTGGGATTGAAAGCTCAGTCATTAATATTGAACAGTGATGACGACAGGTTACCTGTAGCACATTTGTTTTCTAAGACAGCATCACTCTTTCTTTGGCAAGCTTTTCTTGCTACATCCTGAAATGAAATAAAATTTGACTTTGTATGAACTTCAACTGTTGACAAGGTTTTGCAGTTACATATATTACGTGGCCAAGCCCACTATCACCACAAATTAGGGACAGTCAAAGCCCTGGAAGGGACACTTTTTTTTCACGAATGATGGCAATTCTGTAATTATTCTTTCATTGTTATGGCTATATAATTTTTATTTTGCCTTTTACATAACAAATATTAGGGTTTTTCTTCTTTATGAGAGGTAATATGACTAAACATTCCTTATCAAATTGATGTTATTAATTGTGCTAGATAATGTATCGTACACTCACAATCAACAGTTCTTCTTCATCACTTGAACTTAAAAGGTTAATGTTAATTGCACTCTTTTTGGTGCTAACACCTTTCCATTCTTTTTTTGCCGATTGAATACCAGTTACGAATACATCTGTTTCTCCTTTTCTATTCGACTGTTTCATCTTTGAAAGGTGGCCTTCATTTCCTTAAAATAAAAAGTGGTTTGACACTTACTTACAATGGATCAGGGGGCAGGGGAAGGGGAGACTCCCATATCATAGGGCAATAAATATGGGCTGTTAAGGGCCAATCATATTCAAGCATTTTGTTATTGACCCAATTATCTAAATTATTGTTTGATATCATGCGGACTAGAATGGATCTCCTCTGTCCCTCCTCTCTGTCCTTAACATATCTTTTGAAATGACAAGCTCAGTACGAGTTCTGCTGTTTTCTATAACCGTTTAGTGGAATTAGCCATGCCATACTTTGAGGTTCTTTTCCTGAAACCAATCCTGAATTATGCAGCCTTTACAGAATCCTGGGCTACAATCTGGTGTTACTCACAAGAGGCCATTACCATTCCCTCCAATGTCTTTAGGAACAGGATGTGTGTCGTGTAGGAACAGTGATTCTTTGTGCTTTCCAACTAAAAATATGTACGGCCCACAAGTGTAGGTGCCAACAGCACTTTTATTGTCATGCAATCTCTGGAACAAAGCATTGGTCAGTTCTGTTCTTCCACCATCTGAAAGCACAGTCTTCAGGGATACACACTCTTCTGATATTTGGTAATCGAGACACAAGAGTTCCAGATCTTTTAGTTTTGCCTTTGCCTCCGAGATGTCATAATACTGATCGAGCCTTCTATATTTATTAATCTGCCTTGGAAGGTTTGCAATGACATGTTCAGCAATTTCCTGTACCTTTGCCCTTGTAACATCAACTTTCTCTGGAACGTATAAAATTTGTAGTAATGATGATAACTCAGTGTTCTTTATAATAGTAATAAACATATTTTACAATTATTACAATAATAATAATAGTAATAATTGAGGTTGGTCTCAGTGATTTAATACCCCATAAAGTTCTAGCCTTTTAGCCCCTCCCCCCCACACCCCCTTTCAATCTATCCAACCTTTCTGCAAATCGTAGTATTCACGTGCTGACAAGCCCGGCCGGAACACGATCATTTACATGTTAAAAATGAGAAGGCCAGGGCACTGACACCAAAACTATAAAATAGCTTATTTCCTTGTGTCTCCGTGGCCTCAGAGATAAAGGAGAAGGACTATTAGTTTAGTATCAAATTGGACTCTTCCCAAAAACAATAGGGTACCATTCCTCCTTTGTGGTTATCATAGTCCTCTGTTTCACTTAAATTAATAAGTTTACTGGTTATGTATCTATAATTTTGTGTACTGTAAGAAATGCACAGCTGTTTGTGCCATCGTCCTCCAGTGCCAGAGCAGAAGTTTGACTCACTGACAGGTTACGTACCGATAACCTCGCCTCTGGCTGATTTTTATCAAGGAGGCTTACTGCTTGGGTTGCCGTGGGTTGAGTTACTGGGATCAAACTTTGCACAGAACTGGAAAACGTCTTCGATTTGCCACCACTGATTTGCACGAAGACTTTAATACTTGGTGTGGTGACTGGGTAGTTGCTGCTTTGTTAGCAAGTCTTTCAGGCCCTTCTTGGTGAATGGTGCCCGTTCAAATTCAGCAGCATATCGATGGCTTAAATTTGGATTTATCATAGCAAACATCATTAGTCCTAAAGACCAAATATCTGCCTTCATTAGTTCTTCTTGGGCAGCCAGGTTGAGGTCTTCCGAATGAATCTCTGGAGCCATGTATATAGGAGTACCTTGAAACGTTGTAGCAGTCTTCGATTGCAGAAACAACTTTGTTTGAAGTTGAAAAGATCTGCTGAGGCTAGAATCTGCTAGTTTACAGATAATAGGGCACTCAGCATAGAATTTGGCAAAATCACTACTTGTTTTGGTGTAATGCTGATTGGAAACTAACGTGTTACCAGGCTTCAACTTTCTTTCAGCAATTTCGTTTTTGTGCAAATATTCTAACACGGAGACAACGTCTTTTGCACATAACACTAGCACATCTGCGAATGATGTAAAAGAAAACTCGAAGTCAACAAAATGTAAATAATCCTCCAGGGAACTTACAATCTTGTCAACTCCAAAATGGCTGAAGTCAAAGCATATGTACTCCATCATAATCGAGTATGGATCCTCACAGAAGTTAAGGAATTCAGCAAAGATCCAGATGTGTCTGTGTCCTTTTACTTCGTTGAGGATCCCCTCTTCTTTTTCGACCCGCTGTTTTCATTCTGTAGACTCTCCATTCAATTTTTTATCACCACACTTCCTTTAGCAAAAGTAGCCAAAAAAACAGAGCCAAATGTTTCTCTTCCCAGCTCCTCTTGAATGGTAATGTTACCCCATTCAAATTTCTCAAACAAATTTCTCTAAGGCGATGCGAATTATGGACGTAAAGTGAAAACCGAACATTAATAATGATAATCCTTTAATGTTGTTAGAGAAGGGCCGGACTTAAACCCTTCTGAAGCATTAAGGTTTTGACATTTAAAACTATAGACCTTGGGATCTCTTATTAGGGCCCTAACCTGCTTCTGATGACTTCCGATTTTATACATCATCATCCCTAGCTGCCCTAAGTTATCGAACAGTTGATCTCTATCGGAATTATCCTCAATGAAATACTTGAGGGCATTACGTACATCTTTGTTGGTAACTGTACGATTATTCTTTGTGTTGAACACATTGATCACCTTGTCAAGTTTGTATACTTCATCTCTAATCAAATCTGAATTCATGTTTTCTAATTTACTTTCTACTGTGAACATGTTGGTTTGGACAGTTTCAGCAAACTCGCTCATGCCTATCTTAGGTCTTAGAAGATATTCACAATTTATGAGATTCGCCTTGTCTACCATGGTTTTATCGGGTGTCGATTCAGATACCTGGCCGTAAGGAATTAACCTTTGCCTCGGAAAATGATTAAAATAGTTAACTACCCTTTGACTGGACAGGGGTGAACTCGGCGTTTTCTTAGGAGAATACATTTTTACCTAGACAAAGGAGTAAATGCAATGCTTATTCTCTGCTTTGAAGTACTGGATGATATTGCTCTGGACTAGTCTATGTCAGAAAGGGTAAATCATCAAGTTTTCTTAGACGTGAAATTGCCACATAAGCTGCACCTTCTGGCACAAAAGCTGAATCTAACCAGACTATCACCTTTCCTAAGTTCTGTCCTTGAACTTTGCAGATAGTTGAAGCATAAGCTGGTACTATGGGATATGTTGTTCTCATTTCATTTTCCACTTTTTGAATAACAGCATAAATAGCAACTATGCTATCATTTGGTAGCTTTAAAAAGACTGTCGCATTATGCATTGTTATCACTATTCCAGTTTGACCATTTACTACAGTTAGTTCTTTATTCCTGTTTTGAGTGATTACTACTCTCATGTTTTTGAACAGTGGAATGAATTCATCATGATCATTATATCGGATATGTCCAAGAAAATCACCTTGCTCAAATAGATTATTCACTGCTACTCTGTTCACTCTTGCAGTTGCAGCCCGAGTCAAAGTTAAAATCAAAGCTTCAGGATATTCTTTTAAAACATTTAAGATGTCAATATCACGAGGCTCCTTTTGAAGTAGGACACGTCCTTGTTCAAACTGACGAATCGTGTTTAAACTTGGTTTAAAATATCGCAGCACCTGAAGAAACTCATTGAAAACAGGATGTACACATCTATGCTGTTGCAAAAGCTCACTACGACACTATTTCTGAATAAAGAGCGTCTCTGTAAAATTCCTTCAGTGCTTTTAGTGTTACCATCAAACGCGGTTATTTGTTTCTGCTGCTGTTGATCTCCACAGAGTAGTACTACTGGTCTTACATATGCAACTGTTGCAATGTGGTTACTACATGCTGAAAGATTTTGGTGTAGCACTCAATACACGATATTGTGCTCTTAATGCTGTTCTTATTGCATGCTTGACAGCAAAACTTTTTCTTGTTCCAGGTTTACCAGAAATCAAAATAAACTTTCGCCAGTCATGACCTGATGTCTCAGGTAACTCTCTAAAATTTCTTTCATTGATACAAAAACGCAACATTTGGTCAATATAACTAGAAATACAACAAGTTAACAGAACAAGTAAGAATGATTATTATATACAATATAAAAATATTAACGTTAACAAGATACGAACTGATATAACGCAACATGTTATAATTTTTTTCTAACATCGTTTTATAATAGTTGTTATGTTAAACCAAATCTTTCTCATGAATATGAACTTGCATTGTTCCGCCGTTTAGTACGAACGAAAATCCGTCTTTCTTCTGGAACCGCTTTCTTTTGCTGAAACAATCTTTCTTAAGATGTCCCCATTTTACGACAGTTGTAGCACCGAACTGTGAAATCAAAAAACAACACAATAATAGAATCATTTATAAAATATAACAAATGACTTAAGTACTTACTCTTTTTCTGCTTGTCTTCGTTTCTATCCTCCATGCGTCTTCTGCTATGTTCTCTCTCCTTCTCCTCTGATTCCTCTCTCTTCCTTTTTCTTCTCTCTTTCTGCCTTTCTTCCCTCCTGTTACTTTCCTCTTCTTCCATTCTCCTCTGCTCTTCCTCCTTTTCTCTTCTTTTCAATTCCTTCAATCTCTTCTTTTCCCTTTCTTGTTGCTCTAGCTCGATTCTTTTACTTTCCTCTTCTTCATTTTCATTTTCTTGTTTCCTAGTTTCAGAATTAGGGTCTGCAATATCATTCAATACAGAACTACCGACACTCTCAACATCGGTATCTAGTTGTAAATTTCCAGCTCTTTGCAGAAGTTCTGCATCAACATCATTTTGATTCTCCTCCGACATCTATTTGCAAGAAATATAAAAAGTATTAACCAGGGAATGTACCTCTCAACTGATAAACCAGGAGAGCATTTCACCTGCTGCCAAACAAGCATAGATCTTATTCTTGATGCTTCCGTTTGGTCTTTTTCGCTTTCTTTGACTTCTTGTCTGTTTCATACTCTTTTGATTTAGAACTTACTTCATTATCTTCATCGCTAGACATGGTACGTGGTACTTCCCATTTTCCTACTCTTGTATTACTTTCAGATTTCTTATGAGGTTGAATTGATGGAGGGCTTACTCTGGTTTATTTCTTAAGAGATGTGCTACTCGATTTGTGCTTTTTCGCTGGTCTCGTAACAGTCTGAGAAATGCTTGCAGATTCCTTTAATTGAAAAGCTGCTCTACTATCTTTATCAGTAGACAAGCTATCTGATTTTCGCTTTTTTGCTACCTTTGTCGTAGTTTCCGATTTACTATGAGATTCATCTTCAGAACCTGAGGAAAAGCCTTGCTCTTCTAACAAGCTCTTTCTACTACTAGTTATTGTGGCAGGGACTTTGATCTCTTCAGTCGCGAGCTCCTCAGTCCACCACTCCTTTAATGTTGTTACAGTAGGGCTGGACTTAAACCCTTCTGAAGCATTAAGGTTGTGACATTTAAAACTATAGACCTTGGGATCTCCTACTAGGGCCCTAACCTGCTTCTGATGACTTCCGATGGTATACATCATCATCCCAAGGTGCTCTAAGTTATCGAACAGCTGATCTCTATCGGAATTATCCTCAATGAAATACTTGAGGGCATTACGTACATCTTTGTTGGTAACTGTACGATTATTCGTTGTGTTGAACACATTATCACCTCGTCAAGTTTGTATATTTCATCTCTAATCAAATCTGAATTCATGTTTTCGAATTTACTTGCTACTGTGAACGTGTTGGTTTGGACAGTTTCAGCAAACTCGCTCATGCCTATCTTAGGTCTTAGAAGATATTCACAATTTATGAGATTCGCCTTGTCTACCATGGTTTTATCGGGTGTCGATTCAGATACCTGGCCGTAAGGAATTAACCTTTGCCTCG